CAATCAAATAGGATCAACTCTTAAAATGCGCTCAGCTCTTAAAATGGGACCAGCTCTTAGCAACTACAGACAACTAACCTAGCAACTACTAACTTAGCAACTACAGAGAACTAACCTAGCAACAACAGAAAACTAACCTAGCTACAACAGACAACTAACCTAGCAACTACTTAGAACTAACTTAGCAATTACAGACAACTAACCTAGCTACTACAGAGAACTAACCTAGCTACTACTAACCTAGCAACTACTAACTTAGCAACTACAGAGAACTAACCTAGCAACAACAGAAAACTAACCTAGCAACAACAGACAACTAACCTAGCAACTACTTAAAATTAACCTAGCAACTACTTAGAACTAACTTGGCAACAAGATAGAACTAACCTAGCAACTACAAACAACTAACCAATATTACTTTTTTGTTTTCTCACATTGTTTTGCCAGTAGAGAGACATCTTTCACTCCTCATAGCATTGGGCAGCTCACGGCCCGAGACTGGACAGGTTACACGCCACCACACCGCTATATGGTGGCTTCCCCACCGCCTGTTCGGCCCCCTTGACCCAGAGCTGTTGTTTGGCTTCGACCCGACTCTCTATGGGTCAAGCTGAATACTGACGGCTCCTTTGATCACCACACTAGAGCTGCCAGAGGAGAAAACTTGATCCGGGACCATAGCGGCGCCCTCATCACTGCTTTCCACGCGCCCCTTCAGGCCTCCTCGAGCTACGCCGCAGAGATTCAGGCATTACAGATTGGCCTTCAGATTGCTGTCCACCTCTCTAGTCATATATGGATCGAGATGCTGCGGCTGTCGCCACCCTCCTGACTTCGGGCCATCATGGCTCGTGGCAGATTCAGCACCCGCTTATGCGCATTAGAGCTCTACTTCAGTTTGTCCATCACAGGATCACGCACATTTTCCGTGAGGGGAACAGACCTGCTGACTACCTTGCCAGCCTTGGCGCCACCACACCAGATTCCCATACGTTTCAGACCGACACTGCTCCACTCCGACTTCGCACGCTTGTACGGATGGACCAACTTGGACATCCATCTTTCCGCTTTCAGTAGATTAGGCTTGTTGCTTTCATTAGATTAGACTTTTGCTTCCGGGCACCTGTTAGCCCGATGACATACTTTGTATTATCTTTTTCTTTTTGGTTTTTCTTTTTGGTTTGTTTTGCTTCTGAGACTTTGTAGACTGTAGTATGTTGACATTTTGGGCCCAATTTTGGGGTCTTGATCTATGCACAGGTTGGGGATCCAGCCCAATCCCCCGCCCTCTTGGGGCGTTGTTTGTTTAAAAAAAAAAAAACTNAACTAACCTAGCAACTACAGAGAACTAACCTAGCAACAAAAAACAACTAACCTAGCAACATCAGACAGCTAACCTAGCAACTACAGAGAACTAACCTACAACAAGAGACAACTAACCTAGCAACTACTTAGAACTAACTTAGCAACAAGATAGAACTAACCTAGCAACTACAGAGAACTAACCTAGAACTAACCTAGCAACTACAGAGAACTAACCTAGCAACTAGAGACAACTAACCTAGCAACTACAGAGAACTAACCTAGCAACTACAAAGAACTAACCTAGCTAGTTGGAAGGTTAGTTGTCAACGATCAACGCCGGAAGTCAACGGTCAACGCCGGAAGTCAACGGTCAAAATAATATTTAAATAATTCAAATAATAAAAAGAAAAGAGTAAATCTTGGCCACACATGATGTACCAAATCTTGTGGCTAAAAATGAGTCTCACGTCCTCACTTTAAGAAAGTGGCCACATTTGAACCAATCCCTATATATATATATATATATATCGATCAGTTAAGTTATTTCGGACATTTGGTATCCGAAAACCGCTACCGACCGAAATGACCGAAAAAATATACGACTAAAATAAAAAACCGACCGCATCGAATAAAAACCAAACCGAATTTTTTATTTCGGTTGGTTATTTCGGTTTTAGTGGAACTATGCATGCCCCTAGTCACACCCAACATTACAACACAAAGGACGTCGCTCAGTCAAGTTCTATCCGAGGAGGACTACGTCTCATCCCAGAGGACGCAGTCACACATGGTGAGACATCAACCCGCTGCCAACATTGGTGGAGGTAGAAGACCTCGGGGCCGTGACCGCGATCAAGAACGACAGCGGCAGCAAGAACGACAATGACGTCCAAGCAATCAACCATCCCCCCAGCACCTCCAGTTTCAGAACACCGGGCCTGAGGAAGAAGAAGAATGTGACAACTTTTTACTTAACGAAACAATGATTTCTTTTAATTTTTTGTTTCGTTTTTGTTCAGTCGAATTTGTGAGTTTTTAAAAAAATTAATTACTCAGGTGAAGAAGAAGAAGCTGCCACGCCTATCAGAAAGAAGAAAGGTGAAGCCTCGTCTTCTTCACGACCACAACCTCGAAAGGGCTCCCGACAGCACAGACCTAGGGATTCATTCACTCCTAGTTAGTTTGTGTTGTATTCGGTGAATTTTGTAGACCATTTGATTTTTTTTCTTGGATACTATGTGTTGACATTTTGACATATTTGTTTGTTGAATAAATTATTGGGGTTGACCTTTCTGTATATAGTGTATAATTGATCATTATTTTACGAATGGATTGATATTAGTTTGTCGAATTGATATTTTGTTGTGGGGATCCCGACAAACGGTGTGTTTCTTTTATTTTTCCTGCACAGTCAAACGTATTCTAAAAATACGTTTTATATATATTTTTAATTAAAAACCGTATTCTTAGAATATAGTTTAGAAAAAAATTGATTTTAGGGCAAAATGAAACGTATTTTCAAAATATGTTTTACATTTTTCTGAAATAAAACCTATTTTAGAAATACGTTTTAGTTTGTAAAAAAATTATTTTCTGCAATAACAAATTATAAAATTAATTTTATTTATAAAATGCAGTTTGGGAATGTGTTTTTTGTTTTTTAAATTTTATTTTTTTGCAATAAATAAATATGAAAATTAATTTTATTTATAAAACGTATTGTCGAAATACGTTTTAAGTTGATTAAATTAATTGACATTAAAACGTAGTCCATGAATACATTTGATAATGTAAAACGTATTCTCAGATGTAATGATCCGAGATGATTTTGTATTTTTTTGTAGATAGAGAGTTGGTGAGGGAGATAGATACAGAGAGATACAAATAGAGGGAGATGAAGAAAGAGCACGTGAGGGAGAGAATATTTTAGAGAGTAGAATTTTGTTATGTAATTTCTTCCTCCTTTCTTTTCCTACATTACACTTACTTATAGAATTTCCTCAAAAGCCCAACAATATTAACATACTAATATAAAAAAAAAAAACCCAAGCTCAAGCCCATTACATATCATAATTAAACTAATATAAAATAACTAATTAAAATACTAAACTAGAACTATTGTCCCTATATTGGGTACATGACAATACTCCCTTCTTGAAAGAGTCTCGTCCTCGAGACTCATATGTCGAAAATGTAACCATTGCATCTTCGACATTGATTGTAGCGCAAGAAAGCAATCGTTCCGAAATAGAATTTACTGTTCCAAAAGTCTTCTTAGGAGTGGCGAACATGAGATTATCTTCTTAAGCCCGTCTCGCTGTGGTCCAAGGGTCGTTGGGCTCCCCTTTCCAAATCATCACATGCAAAATGAATGTCTCTTGCGGTAGTCCAAAAATCATCCATGTAGCATGGAAATAATTAGGCCCAACTCTATGCTTCTTAAATGTGATATCAATAATCAAACTGATAGCAGCCCAACCCAATTTCAATTTCACATAAGATAGCCTAGCCAACATCCTCTCGTTCTCGAAGCTTCTGCCCTCAACTCCTCCCCAGAGATTGAAATTCGATCACACCTTTGGTCCCTTTCTCCGGTCTGTCCACATATTTTTTTTGTTCCATCACAATCTAAATCAAATTGAAACAATAAGTGTATTAATCGAGCCATTAGCCGAAATATAAAAATAGTATAAATAATATAATATTTATATTACAAAAAAATAGTATTTTTATATTTCTATGGTTGAACATAAATAACATTCTTATATAAAAATATATAAAAAAAATACCTTTTATATAGTTCAGTCATTTTGATTATTTTGGTTATTTTAAAAAAATAAGACCGGTATTGAACTAACACAATCTATATTTTACAAATGAAAATAGATAATCAAGCTGAAATATAAGATATAGACACGAAAATTGTAGTCACTTTGTTTTCGGTCATTATGTGCAATTCATCTAAGTGCAATTTAGTAGTCATTAATATGCAATTTGTCTAGCACTATTATACAGTCGCAGTGTACGCATTTTTCAATGACTTGTCTCAAATCAAGTTAAACATAACCGAAATAATTGACTTATTCAATCGGTTGACAGAATTAGCCTAAATAT